GGCAGCTTGGCTTCCTCTTCCTAAACCTTTTAGTCCTGCGTTTTCATCCAGGGTGCTGGGTCCCTGGTATTGACCACCAGTGAAGTGGCAGGACAGCAGAGCAGGCATCGGGAAAGTAGAGTTCTGGGAAGACGACGGCTGTTTCCTTCCCGAAGTCCTCAGGGAGCCCAATGATAGACAATTTCGGGGATGCTGAAAGAGTGACTTCAGTAAGTCTAAGTCTCTTCCTGGGTTTTGTGGTGCTGAATTCAGTGGAAACTGTGCTTTTCGTTTTGTGTGGAAACAAGGGAAGAAGAGGTGAATGACGAGAACTGGATTAGAAAAGGAGAGAATTGTTCTGTCATCCTGCTGTGCCTTCCAAACTCTGGGTACAGTAAGCATCTCTCATATGCACTACAGATGTAGTCCTAATGATAAATCACTTTTTAATCAGTCATAATTTTGCGTTAAGTGCTGAATAAGTGCCCTTTGTTTCATACTTAAGCTGTCAGTGGTGAACATCAGGAGGCAGCCCAGTGCCCATCACTAAGCAGAGAAAAATCAATACCATTTTTAATTAAGGCAAGGCACAGCCGGGCTTGGAGACAAGCAAATCTCCTTGTCAGAGCATCTCCCCTTTAAACTCTTTCAGAAGTTCAGCTTAGAAGTTGAGAGAGAGCCAAATGTAGGGCCAGAGTGCTTTGTGGGTGGGCGTGGTCCAGACAGGCAAATATATGAAGCAGACAGTAAACACAGGCCAGGTGTGTGCTTTGTACTTGGTCTGTCCTACAGAGGATCTTTTTGGGGGGGTGGGGTTGGGGGAAGGGTGTTTCGAGACAGGGTCTCTTTGTGGCTTTCGAGGCTGTCCTGGAACTAGCTCTTGTAGACCAGGCTGGTCTTGAACTCCCAGAGATTCCCCCTGCCTCTGCCTCCCGAGTGCTGGGACTAAAGGTGTGCACCACTACCTGCGCAACTAATGAGAACTCTTAAAAGTATGATGGGCTGGGCAGTGGTGGCACACTCCTTTATCTCAGCACTCGGGAAGCAGAGGCAGGGGGATCTCTGTAAGTTCAAGGCCACTCTGGGCTACAGATCGAGTTCCAGGACAGGCTCCAAAGTTACACAGAGAAACCCTCTCTTGAAAAACAAAAAAGAAAATTGTGACGGGGATGCTGAAGCATAGAGCTCCACAACTGATGACCTCTGGTGGTATCTACATACCAGTGAGTATGTAGATAACACGAATTGGACTTTTTCCCTTATTTTTCCTTATTTTTCGGGGGAGGGGTTCACAAGGGTGATGGAAGAACTGGGAAGTATGATCAGGGTGCATGACGTGAAATTCCCAGAGAACCAATAAAATGTTATGTTGGAGCTCCTGGCTTATGGCAGGAGTATTTTCATTTGTAGATTGAGTTGAAGGAAAGCCAGACAGGCATTCTTGTTACTGCTATTTCTGTTTAGAATTCAGAACATGACGTGTTTTTATGCCTCTGTTCAGATTGTATTTTCTATCTTGGGTTTTTCTTATGTTGTGGAGCTAGAGTCCAGCAAGACAGAATTCGTGGTGTTTTACAGCCTAGTGACAGAAATGCCACCGTCACCTCATGTTCAAAGGGAGAGGAAGAGCAAAGCATGGAATTCTTGAGAGCTGATCTGGAAAGTTACCTACCTGGAACCCAACACTGCTAACAGGAAGCCCCTAGCTTATTTGGAGGAAGAATTCTTTAAAATTTGATTTGGAGTAACGCAAGGCAAAATATTTAACCAAATCCCTGACAATGACATAATCAGGATCCTAGGGAAATCAGGAAGGGTGGACAGAAAGCACTTTGACTAGTGAAGGTCAGAGTTACTGTAAGCATGCCCAACGTTTAGTTGTTACCATTTCCTTCACACGCTGAAAAACACTAAATCTGGTTTGGTGATTCAGTAGTCCATGCTGGTGTCAGTTCTCTCTGTTCGTAGTAACTTTCAAAATCCAGCAGCTTAAAATGACCTAGAGATACACGAGGACCTAACAGTTCATGTAGTTCAGAGGTCCAAAGGTTAGACTGACCTTAATCTTAATGGGATCGAGGAATCTTTTTTTTCTTTTTCCAGACAGGGTTTCTCTGTGTAGCTTTGGATCCTGTCCTAGATAGCTCTTATAGACCAAGCTGGCCTCAAACTCACAGAGATCTGCCTGCCTCTGCTTCCCGAGTGCTGGGATTAAAGGTGTGCTCCACCACTGCCTGTCAAGGAATCACTTTTTTTGTCTAAGCTTTTGATCTCTGCTTTCCTGGGTGTACTGACTTCATCTTCAATTGTCCAATGTGGGGTTAAAATTCTTAAAACAAACAATAACACTCTCATCCACTCTCATCTGCATCCCACACAAAGTTTAATATATTTTCACAGTCACTAATTTTTGCCTAAATCCTAAAGCTTCTGTGGAAAAATGAGCACTATTTTAAGTTAACACCTTTATATAGGGAAGAAGCAAGATGTCCAAAGTCTAATGAAGAAACAAACCAATAATGAGCTTTTCTGTTGCAGTTGTCAAAACAATTAAAACTCATGTGTAAATGTCTTGTGCCCTTTTTTTATTATTATTAAGTTTGTATGTGCACTGTTTGGACATAGGAGCTCATGGATGCCAGGAGGGAGCATCGGATCCCCCTGGAACTAAAGTTAACAGCTGTTGTGAGCCATAAGATGTGGGCGCTGGAAAACTAACTCCCCTCTTCAGCAAGAGCTGCAAGTGCTCTACTGCTAAGAGATCCTTCAAGTTCTTAAAGTTTTCCACAAAAAGTAGTAGCACACGTTTCAAACAAAACCCTTCCTTAGACCCGCAAAGGAATCCATGATCAAATCCACATCTGTAAGCACTATTTACCCAAACAATTTTCCAGTTATTTATTAAGACACGAGCCCTCTCCCCTTGCCCCACACCAAGCAGGATGCCCACGGGGTGTCTCGTTTATGTGGAGCAGGAGCATTCTAGGGTCCCTCCACCCCCACCTCAGGGAGATGCAGAGCGGGCTGCTCATCTCTGGCGACCCAGGGCAGCCAGCTTCCCTGTCACTTATAACTAGTGCTACCACCAGGAGGCCTCCATCCTTTCCCAGGCCTCCAGGTTGTGGCTGGGCAATTTTGGGGTCACCCCACCACCACCACTCGGGTCATAGCTGCGCAGTTCTGGGGTCACCCCATCACCCGGGTCGTGGCTGGACAATTCTGGGGTCACCCCATCCCCATCACCCGGGTCGTGGCTGGACAGTTCTGGGGTCACCCCATCCATCACCCAGGTGATGGCTGGGCAATTCTGGGGTCACCCCATCCATCACCCGGGTGATGGCTGGGCAATTCTGGGATCACCCCACCACCCGGATGATGGCTGGGCAGTTCTGGGTCACCCCACCCTCCTCCGGGCGA